AAGTATAAAATGTCTTTATGTAATATCGAAAGCAAATAAAACTTAATTTATGATTACAATGTGAATTGCTCCAATCAGCACCAGCGTGCGAGCGTTCGGTCTTCTCGCTTTCTTGTACCTCTTGATATGTGATCAGATCCCTAGCCCCGCCCTATGTGTCACATCGCATGAGACCTCTTCAGGACCGGTCAAAGTTTTACACTTGGTTGTCTATGGAAAGCAGCCACAGCCTGAGTAGAGAAGCCCGCCCCCTGCCAGCATGCTGCAGAGAAGAAGCCTTGCTCTCTGTGTGGAAGCAGTGGTCTGTCTGCCGAGGTCTGGTGAGCCAGAGATAGAGCTCTCCAATCAGCAGGGAACATGAGCATTGCAAATCAGAAAAAAAGCTCCCTACTGATTGGAGAGATCTAGCTTTGATGCCCCTGAAGGTGTTTCATACCTCAGCAGAGAGACCACTGCTTCCACGCAGAGAGCAAGGCTCCTTCTGTGCAGCATGCTGGCAGGGGACGGGCTTCTCTACTCAGGCTGTGGCTGCTTTCCATAGACAATCAAGTGTAAGACTTTGGATACATTATATTTACATCTGGAAAGTATTTAGCAATGTAAAGTTGTTGGGTTTTAATTTGCAGATTATTATTGAACAGTAAATGCTACAAAATAAATATATAAAACCAGCAAACTGCGGCTGAGTTGCCCCCTGACACTGTGCTCCCGGCGGGGTATCTCACCTGTACGATGTGACGTATCTGGTGGGCAGCAGAGTCTCCACGCTGGGCTTCCAGTAACAGGAGAAATTGTGATAGTCGGAGGCCCGGCAGGTGACGGAAGGAATTCCGGGGAGATCTGCAACGGACGGGAAGTGACGGAGAATTAGAGGATTCGCCAACAGTGTGCGCAGCGCTTTACAATATAAGGAAGATATATAAAACAATACAAGATGGTAAGGAGGGCCCCGCCCCTGAGGACTTACATTGTCTATATCTCTAGAGCTGCTGTAATAGAACAACATACAACGAGAACGAGATAGATGATCAACCATTGTTACAATTTATTCTTCAGTATAAATAGTTCTAGTACCAACCAC